CGCGCAGCAGACACTCAATCGTGAGACGCATCCGGGGTGGGAAAATCGCGTGAGCCTCTTTCAGCCGTGACGACGCTTCCTTTCGCTTCATGTATCGCCACATGTCTCGCGGTTTCAAGCAGCGCAACTCGCGAGATCATAAACCGAAAGGGCGAGGAGCGAGGCAGCGCGCAGCGCTTCATCCGTCATTCCTCCCTCGATTAACGATCGTCAAGCGGAAAATCGCCCACGACGATGTCCTCCTTCACGCGTCGCGACACCGTCTCCGTCGCCGCGACGAGCCGCGAAGAGAGGAAGTTAAGTGGACGGGCAATTTCTCCGCGACAACAAATAGTAGCTCGGATGGGAAAAGGGCGGAGGCCATGTGACGCGATTCCCACGTATCCCGCCGGCGCGCGTCGCGAATCCTAGGAAGAGAAAGAGAGAGAGAGAGAGAGAGAGAGAGAGAGAGAGGGAGAGAGAGAGAGAGAGAGAGGGAGAAAGAGAGAAAGCGCTACCGCTTGCGCAGCCCTTCCAGCCTCCTCGACGAGCCTCCTGTCCGAAGTTATCGCTCTTTCGTCGACCTGGCTGCGATCGTTTCCCCCTTGAGCCTCTCCCGCCGGCGTGATTGCATAACAAAATAAACAGCGCCGCACAGCGCGTATTGCGCTACACGAAATCGCCCTTTGCGACCACGCGCCGACGTTGCCGAACATCGTCGCGCAAATTAATTCCCCGCCGGGGGTTGCCGCGGCTTCCGAGATGGGCTCGCGCGAGTGATGGGGCGGTAAGATGGGACGCGCCACGTTCCTCTGAAGGCGCCCGATGAGGCAAACGCGCGCGCGCGCACGATGACCTCGTATCTAACCCGCTACGGCGAGTCGGGAATGTTGCTTCGTCACGTTCGCGGATAATACAGGCGGAAGTTTCCGGCGGCAAGAGCGGCGCGCGCGCGCGCGCGTGCTATTCCCTTCGCGCGTCCGCCCTTTGTTTCTATTTCCGTCCCTACCGCGCGCAATCCCGCGCTGCTACATCGTCATCTTCGTCTCTCGTCTTCTCGTCCTCGACTACGACCTCGTTGTTCGTTGTTTCTCTCTCGTTCGCCGGCTTTTCGTGTAGCGCGGATACGCCTACAACGGATAGAGGCGGCTGGACGTAGGTACGCAGGGACCTAACGGACAGATCCGTGTTTCCATGGAAACCCACCTATCTGCGTCGGTTGGACCTATACTGCCTGCTGCCACCCTGATAAGCGGCTTACTCTCATGGTTCTCTCCACTCTTCTTCGCCGAAGCATCCCCCGACCTCTCCCCCCGGCCGCTCCATCTCCTCGACACCCTGCTCCTGCCCCCTCCTCGCCCTTCTCCTGTCGACGCCCGCGTCCCGCACACCTCGGCGGCCCGGGGGACCTCTTTCGAGTCGAAGGAGAAAGAGGGCGAACGGCGAAAGACGGTCGGGAAAGAGAAGAGCGAAGAGAAGCGTCGACGACGACGCTTTTCGCCGAATCGTGCCGCTAAGAGAAGCCGACGCGAAAATGTTGCCTCTCTCTCTCTCTCTCTCTCGCTTTCTCTCTCCCCCTCCCTCCCTCTCTCTTTCTCTCTCTCTCACATATTCTCCCCCTCCCCTCTGTCACTTCCTCGCATTTTGTTCGTTCTATTCTACTTCACCTCGTGCTCAGCTGTACTAACGCATAGTCTTCTTGCTTCTTCTTCCCTCTTTCTTTCTCTGTGTGTGTGTGTCTCTCTCTCTCTCTCTCTCTCTCTCTCTCTCTCTCTCTCTCTCTCTCTCTCCCTCTCTCTCTCTGCCTCGGCCTTCCACCTTCGGTACCCGCGTTCTCGCCTCCATCCTCCATTCTCCTTTCCACAGTAGCGATCTCTTTCTATATACGCACGCTCCGACGTCGGTGGCACACTGGAAAATTTATGCAGTCAATTACCGAGCCGGCGCTGCGACCTCGAGAGTGGTACCGGGGCACAGTGGGAATCCTCCCTGAGATTGCTTCGTCTTCTCTGTCTTCTTACTCTCCCTCATTCCCACCTCTCCCTCCCTCTCTCTCTCTCTCTCTCTCTCTGTCTCATTCTGCCTATTTCGCGCGCCGCCGCCGATCATCTGGATTTTTTCGTTCGCGAGGTTTAAATGGTGTCCGGGAAACGTCGAGCTCACCCTCACGGCTTCTCTGTGGGAGGGCATTCGAAGTGGTTTTGGTTAGCGGTCACGAAATGCGGCGTAATGGACGGTAGCCGCGCGGGTGCGCGCGTTCTCGTGGCTGGGTTTTCCGCACGTATTCATTTTGCCGGGACTTGGGGATTTTTGCGCCGAGTCGCAGATATTCCGATCGAACAGTTCGGATGTGGTCGAATTCGCCGCGGGAATTCGTCACTCATTATCGCGCGTCTTTCAGCGCGCGGCTTCATTTCGCGCAATTTTTTTTCTTTTTTTCTTTCACGTTCACCTCGCGAGAATTAGTACGTGCGGCAGCGGTGCAGTCGCGTGCATGTTTCTTACCGAGTCACACAGCGATAGCTACAGTCAGGAAGCCCCGAGATTGCTCGGACGGTCGTACGGTTTCAGTCGATGCATCGATTTGCATGGCAATCAATAACGGCGAATATGACGGGCACGTGAAATATTCTTACAGAGCGGCAGGCCAGGCTGGCGTGTTAGAAAGATGTGGCGATGTTAGCGGGAAGACGCATCAATTATTGAAACATAATCAGACGCGTGAGCGTAATACAAATCGCGCAGACATGCGCGGTAATGAAATAACAATACGGGCGACAAAAAAATATAATTCTTCGTTATTTTTGTTTGGTGTTCGCACCGAACCCCCTAGCGAGATTCTGACGAGCGGTCGAACGGTCTTCAGGGGTGCGCGATATAAAGAGGACACAAAACAAAGGCAAAGATAAACAAAGAACAGGTATGGTAATCCTAAAGGCTACGAGCCGATTGGCCAAGGGTGCCGAATGTTTTCGTTTGCTGCGTTTTCGCAACCGCTGTCCCTTCCGTGACGAATTTTCCGCAGCCGCTGTCGCTTCACGACCACGAGAGCGGCCGAGACAGCGCCCGAGGTATAATTGTGCCATTATTTGCGGACCCTGACACAAATCCCAACTCCGTCGCGAATTAATACGGTCCTGCTAATCGCTACGAGGAGCCTCCGCACGGTTGCGCCATCGCGAAGCCCTCAGTGTTGTTCCTCCCGAGGAATTTTCGCGCACAGACGCGCGTCACGACGCAAGTAAAAACAACTCAAAACTCTTGGTGGCGAGAAGGAGGGGAGGGGGGGAATTCATCATTTGGTTAACGAAGAAAAAAGAAAGTGAAGAGTTTCAACAGAGTCCGTTTTTAAGCACCGCGATTATCTCGGGACGGTTTACTGGATGAATACGTCTACGCTACCTGTCGCGCCGTCGCAAAGCCGAGCTGCAGATTGAACGCTCGTCTTTTATTTCGCTGGATTAGCCAGCCGGATTAATCATCATCGAAAATCTCGCGTTCTTCCCAAATCCTCCGCGCGTCGCGGGTATTTATGATGTCGATCGCGACGCTTTCGCGTAAAAGCACAACGAGCGCTTCGGGAGTTGGCGTGCGAGCGCAAGGCTCAAGCGTCGTCTACAATGGCAGTAAGCAGTAAGAAGTAAGCGTGAACAGTAAGAAATGGACGAACCACAGTTGATTATTTTTGTAATAATCATAATCTGTGAGTGTGATTGCTTTATTTCTTACCGCTTACGCTTACTTCTTACTGCTTACTGCCATTGTAGACGACGCTTCATAAACGCGAGTAAAAACGCTGCCGCTGTCGCCACCTCACGATTGCCTGAGGACTCTTCTACCTGCACGGGCGCGTCAATAGAATAGTCGGAGTGGACAAACCCGTTGCCGTTAGATCAAAACAGCAGCGGTGTATCTTCCGGTAGCAGAGGAATCTCGGTAGTGCCTATAAGGGAAAAGGGATAAAGGATCCTGGTAGGCTGTTTTGAAGGTTAGGACATACCCGTAGACATGCAGGTAGAATTTGTTGAGTCGGCTAGAAAACTCCTCTACCGTCTTGCGAATTATCATCGAGAATTATTATCGAGATATCGGTTAAATAAAATGGTAGAGGAGTTTTCTACTCTACTTAACAAGTTCTGTCTGTCGGCGCACGAACGTGCTGACGTGCGAAATCCAGACGCCGTGTGTTTGCTCCTCTAAAACCCACCATTCGAACCTCGTCGAATTGTGCACGAGAACGATCGATACCTTTGACGAAAGACCGATTTCCGACGGTGTGTTCTCTGTACGTTAGCGGTGAATCGAAAAGCGGTGTTGCGACTTTTTCTCAGAAGGAGCGACGTATGAAATACACAACTGAAAAACTTCGTTCTTGGTTGTTCGGCGTCGTGAAGCGGATCGCTCAGTTGCCGAAATGTTACTTGTTTAACTCTTTGAGGCATAGAATATTAAGATAAAAAAAGACTAGTTGCGCAGAAACTTTATTTGAAAGATATAACACAAAGTAGCTTTGTTTCTTTTGAATTTGGAATCTTTTGAAAATGTAAGATTGCGAAGATTAATCGGATGAAAGTGAGAAGAAAAGTCACGTACCATTTTGCTAAAGTCGCAATAGTTGTTAAGTTATTAATGATTGAAGATGACCATATCTAGAGGTTCTCTTAATCGATAACTTGAAAATTCTCTAGCGATGAGTGTATTGAACTTTGGGCCTTGAATCTAGGCTCGTTAGGCCCATTGGCCGTCATATAATTGTAGATTAGGTCATTCTGAACAAAAGAGTCCTTTACCATTTTGCGAATAAAGTTCGTCGATTTTCAAGTTATCAATTAAAGTCATTTTCCATCATTAATAACTTAATAATTGTTGCAATTTCGGCAAAATAGTACCTGACTTTCCTTCTCAGCCCCTGTATAAGTTGAGCCTAAAAAGGCGGGAAACCTTTTAGTCCGCTGTGCCCCAAAGTGCCAAAGCAAGATGCGAAATTGTCGCGCGAATCCAAGATAAGATGAATGGCTCACCTTGCGGATACCCGGGCAACGTATGCTCCAGCGGATGAGGTTGCCCATGGCCGAGGGTGAACGGCGTCGATAGAGCATGATGCGGTGCACCCGGATGCGGGTGAGGATGAGGATGAGGATGGCTGCTGACACCCATCGGATGCGTATGGGGGTGGTACTGAGGACTTCCGGTCGGGGTGCAGGACGAGCCTGTCGCCCTCAGGTACCCCGCCATGTAGCCTGCGAGGCAAGCCAGCTCACCCGCCACCGCGGCGCGCTTATCACGCTCCCTTATCTCGCAAGTACCTCCGCCCTGCACGCCGCCCACCAGCTATTCTCCTCCCTGCGAGGGAGTACCGTTCACGTAGTGTACCGATGTCCTTGGAGCCGGCACTTTCGACACGCTACCGCGAGTCGCCGCGTACCTGGAAAAATGTAACAGTCCTTTTTTCATCACCATCGCGTTGACTACCGTTGACTTCGTTGCGTACGACTAATGTTTCACTGGGGAATTCTCGACGAAAATGTTGCTTTAATGTAACTCGAACTTTACGGGAAAGTATAATTGTATACGACGGCGTGCGTCGCAACGCGATAAAGTGCGGATAGAACCGGTCAAAATGAGTGAAAAGATCCCACACGATTTTTCAAACAATCACGTAAAATTTCGAGTCATTAGTGAAAGAAAATTAACAAATCAGCGCGCGCGAGACGGCGCGATCGTATGGAAAATAGTTAGCTACGTCTCTTTGCAACGATCAGTGAAAAAACGGAGAAAAATACGAAATAATGCGTAGACAAGAAGGTGTTTATCGTAGCATCCGAACTGTGCATCTGTATGTTGTGACATGGACATTCTGTTTAGTGTTAATTGTATAGCGTTAACTGGGATTTTAACTGGAATCCAAATTGTTTAGCAAAAGGGAACCGTCGAAACTATGTGTTTTGTATTTTTATCTTAATCTTCTTCTTTCTATTCAGTTTTCAAATATGTTGTAAAGCAGAAAAAAATTAAAAATTCTACCCTTCGCTTATACGTGTTTTGTGGATTGAAATAATCCCCGTAAAAGATAACTCAAATATTTCATTTTCACAAATATCACAGAGAGAAACTACGAAGCGTACACAAAAGAATTCTGTACAAAAAAATTGTTTTTTTATGATACTTTGTACTTTTTATGTATTTTATAAATCTGATAGGGAAACAAGAACAGGACAGAATAAATAAAATTTCACATTTTCAGAAAATTCCGCGTACAAAATAAAATACGGTTGTTTTAATCTTGTTGCTGCTGGGAAAACACAAGGGAAAATATTTACCGATTTGTCGAGGTGTTAATCGTGTCACGATCAATGGCTATTGTAATGCCATCTGCAGAGGAAATACATGTTTACGACTGCAACGAAAAACTTGCGTCTCTAGATTATCTCATCGTTCACACCGCGATATCATTCAGTCCACTGCAATTACGGTGTAAATCTCACGTCGTACGCTCCGGCGCGGTTTTGCGATTAACACTCGTTTAATTCACGATAACACCAGCTCGTCAATGTTTCACATTGACGCGCAGTCTCGGCGGCGTAAAGTCTAACGTGCAAATCTGAAGTATATCGAGCCCTGTGCCGCGATTCTGTAACTCGTTATTGGAGTTAACGACACTTTCGTTATCGTTGCGTAGCTTTTGTATACCGTAGAAAAGCTGCGCAACGATAACGAAACTGTCGTTAACTCCAATAACGAGTTACAGAATCGCACCACTGCTCTCCTAAGGAGGCTCCTTGCTCCTGTTGCTTCTTTGTGAAGGCGATTTTTCGGTGATTAAGTCCCGTAAAAACTGGAATGACTAGAATGGATTATTATTCCTCTTCCCATTTGTCGCTGAGTAACAAATATTACACTTGGACATGATTATATCAGTCGTCACAGACGTTGCACAACACATTACTGACGATTGTCATTGATGACACACGAGCAAAATTCGTAACCTAACGCGCAAGAGACCAGCTCTGCCAAGCCCACGGACCCATTCGCGACCTACGTTCGATACTGAATAGTTTTTCTTTTCAGACCCTTCTTCAGTCCCTTTCCGAAGGAGATGGGGGTGGGGAAGTCCCCCGGCAGCGGTGGGGAGGTAAGAAATGGCTACTCGTCAGAGAAGGCCTGTCGAGGGCCACTCGCGGTTTTAGCACAGAAGCAGCTATTGCGAATCTCCGATTTTTGCTCGATCGTGTGCGAGCGGCGAGTCCTTTGAAGCTAAACGGCTCCATTTTCTGTAACTTACGCGGTAGAATCGACATCACCGATTGCGTGGAAATTGCTCCAACGAGGAAGATGAAAACTCTACTAATTATACGTGTTTGTGCAGCCGCGACAACTGTCTCGTTAACATCACGTTGCCAGCGGCACGTGCGACGACGACGAAGACGCGACGCTCGCGAAGTAATTACATGCAGCATTGGTGAGCCACTCGTTGAGCGGTATCTGCTGGAATAAGGGCAGAAAAGAGACGCACGCACGCACACACACACACACACACACACACATGTACATACAAGTGTCGCGGCGAGTCGTCGACGCGGCCGACACTTCCGTGTGCGCTAAACCGGAAATAGCGTAGCCGTCGGGAAAGAAGTGTTTCTGAAAAAAAAAAAAGTCGGCTTAGCCGCGTAAAACTGAACTCGTCGCTAAACGGTTAAATAAACTTCGAGACCGCGTTTTTATACGCGGCTGCAGCGCGTTACACGCGCGACGGGCGGCGAGAGGAGCCGAAAGGCTGATGCACCACGTAGGTAGGTATGTTTACACGGGGGCATTATGGCGGATAATGTTTGTTATGGGCGTCTATGCCGCGGAGCCGGGAGAGGCGAGACTATCCGACGTTAAAAGGCCAGCTTGGTCGATCCGCTTACGGCGGATGAGGCTTAAATTGAGTGAGAGATAGTGAACTCTCGTGCAACGAGTACGGGCGCGAATAGCGCGCGCGTGCTGCCGCCGCCGCTGCCGTTGTTGCTGCTGCTGTTGCTGCTGTTGCTGTTGCTGTCGCTGTCGCTGCAGCCAACGCCGTCGCGCTGCGTCGTGCGACGCATCGTGCGCAGACGTCGTTTATAATCTAAGCGACAAAACAACCCTGCGTTAATTCCCTCCGCGAGGATACCCGCGTTATCTTCGGGCGAGAAGGGCGGACTGATAAGGGGCGTGATAAATATAATCGTGATCGACGATTGTCCCGACCGGGGTCTTTCGCTTCGACATCGCCATGTTGAGCAGAAATGAGAAAGACATTCCTCCCTTCACTCCGTGAGTGTGCAGTGAACGGAAATGACTTGTGATTTTGAGCTTTCTCACGTCGTGTCGCCAGATTTCGGTTTTCTCATTTGTCAGCTACTGAATGAATAAAGTTGACGTCGTGCCTGTTAAACATTGTGACTATTAAACCCCAAAACTGTTCGACTCTTGTCCCCTACCCGAGCGACGACAGATACGTTATGTTTCAATCAAAAAATTGCTTTCACATTGTAACCTCAAGCTAACCTTTCTCCCTTGTCCTGCCTTGTCGATGAAGGTATCCTTCGAATTGCAAAGGGGCAAAGAATATTTCATAAAAGATTATAGTTGCTCTCCACGGGTTTCTCTCTCGGGAAAATATCGAAATGCATGTGCTGATCGGAAATACTCTGAGGGGCAACGGTTTTCTTTCGTTTCGAGATTATCTCGAAACAGACAGGGTACGATTGCCCTTCCTCTTCCTCGCCAAAATTTCCTCACAATTCCGTCAACGACTGCGATCCTCCCGCGCAGTTCGTCGTAATGCATGGACAACTCTATGAGCATCGATCGCGCGAAGAAAGTCTGGGATCGATAGGACCCTCGTAATTCGCCCAGCGAAACGACGGTTGCACATCGCTCGATATTCGATTTCGCCAGTTTATCGGCGTTACTTGCGTGCGAGTATCGCTCCGGCGACGTTAAACACCTCAAAGCTTGCGAAAGCCGATTAGCGTCGTCGCCGTCGGGACGATTTCGGTGAAATGCGAACACTACCGAAAAAACTTGGACATCCCCGCTGTACCAAGGGGGGTTGGAAATGTGGGCCGCGCGATCATTCGGCGATTAAGCGACCTCGCGGATGATTCCGCATTCTTTAAAAGCGCGCTCGACTCGTCGAGCCCTTCTCATGGGTTTATTGGTTAATCCTTTCGCTCTCGCGAAGAACGATCGCGCTTCGGGGATCTAATATTGTCGCTGCGCGATCGGTGCTTCCGAAATAATCCTCTCACGTTAATTGGATTGAAAAAATGTTGACAGCGCCGATTTCGGCGACCTTCTTCTCAAAGCACAGACGCGCAACGTTAATCTTCCGACGGTCCATTAAGTGCAGTCTGTTTCCGCTTTTTTCTCTTTTTCTCGCTTCGTCTCAATCAGACTTGTGGCCGAGTTACGTTTTTCGACCAATTTTTCACACTGCTATCCCAACGTCTTTCTTTTTGTAGCATTTAGGCTGCTCGCAGAAACACAAGACACTTCAACTTAGGAGAATGATAAGTTTTTTGTTCGCGTTGCTTGCACCTTTAACATTTTTCGCCCGTAATCGCCCATTGCACACTGGCCCTTCTTTAAAAAGAAGAACACTCATTGGATTTCGCTCGTCGCGTTTGGTGTGCAACGGGCATTAGGTGCAAAGATGTCAAAAGTGCAGGCAACGCGAATAAAACTGATGTTAGCTGAAAATCGTACGGATTTTTTTACGTACGCGCATTACCCCGCGGGTTATGTGTTTATAGAGTTCATATTATTATTATTATTATTATTATTATCAATATTATTATTATTGTTATTATTATTAGTGTGTTATATAAGGGTACAAAGTACCATTACAATGGAATATGTATGTTAATTTTGTTTATATTTTAAGATCGTATATTTTAAGATTTAAGTACATATATATATATATATAATTTTATTATATAATAAGATATAATAAACTTACATATACACAAACTTTAGAATATATAGGGTGTTAAAAAAAGGCTTCAAGACTTTAAGGACAGATATTACTTACGAAATGGAGGAAAGGAATCCTAATAAACATGGATCGAAAAATTAATATTGTCGAAGTTATGAACAATTATTTATCTTAATTAACACGTTTCGCGCCATGTGTACTACACGGTGGTACTGCCGGTTAAACTTTCGATTCAGGCCGCATGTACCACGAGATATACGATATGATAATTGCCGTATACAAGTTAGTTACTTATCGGTCAATGAATAAATGAATATATTAACGAATATAATGAAATATTTTATGATAAGATATCTGCCTTTACTCTAAATATCAAATAGCCTGAATAAAAAGTTGCGCAAAAGCAGCTCGTCACGGAACGTGCTAAAGTGACTTACTCGCTTCTCGTATATTTTGTATTC